GTGGAGATGGGGTAGTGAGCAAGAAAAAGCCTTCAACAAACTTAAGGAGAAACTCACAACATATCCAATTCTAGGATTCCCCAATTACTCCTTACCCTTTGAACTTCATACAGATGCCTCATCATCAAGCATCGGCGCTGTATTATATCAGACACAGGACAACTTCAAACGGGTCATAGCCTATGCTAGCAGGAGTTTATCAAAATCAGAGAAGAATTACCCTGTTCATAAATTGGAGTTCCTGGCTTTGAAGTGGTCTGTATGTGAGAAATTCAGAGATTACTTATATGGAGGAACATTCAAGGTTTATACAGACAACAACCCACTCACGTATGTTTTAACATCAGCGAAACTTGATGCGACGAGCCAAAGATGGATTGCAGATCTGGCCAACTTTAACTTTGAAATTCAGTATCGACCCGGATCACACAACGCAGATGCAGATGGACTAAGCAGGATACCAAATCAGGAAATCATAACATCTGATTCCATTAAGACCATATGTAACTCAGCTGTATCCAATCATCCCTATGTACAATGCTTGTCCATATCTCCATCTTCAGTAGACAACTTACCAGACTTGAGTGATCAGACAGAGATTGATGTTCGTCGTCATCAGTACAATGACCCAGTGTTAAGATTTTGGATACCGTACGTACGAGATCAGTACAAGCCAGCAAAACACCATCTACCATACAACAACATGCAATACCATGCTTTACTACACAAGAATTTTGACAAACTTAGACTACGAGACGGGATACTCATTAGAGAAACAACAGTTAATGAGAAAAAGAAGTCACAGATACTTTTACCCAGATCATGCATTGGAACAGTATTGTACCATCTTCATACTGACATGGGACATCCAGGCCGTGAGAAAACCATCAGTTTAATCAGAGACAGATTTTATTGGCAAGGAATGACAGCAGATACGGAACACTTCATTTCAAACTGTAGGAGATGCCTTTTAAGGAAAACACCAACAACAAGAGCTCCACTTATTAACATCAGAGCATCACAACCTTTAGAACTCGTATGCGTAGACTACCTTAAACTAGAAAAATCAAAACGAGGATACGAAAACATCTTGGTTATCACTGATCACTTTACTCGATTTGCTCAGGCTGTAGCTACAAGGAACCAAACTGCCAAAACCACAGCTGAGGCATTGTACCATCATTTTATTGTTCATTACGGGATACCTTTAAGACTACACAGTGATCAGGGTGCAAATTTTGAGTCAAAGACCATACAGGAGCTCTGCAACATTCTTGGAGTTAACAAGTCAAGAACAACGCCTTATCACCCCATGGGCAATGGCTTAACAGAACGCTTCAACAGGACTCTTCTGAAGATGTTAGGGACACTTGAAAATTACCAAAAACAGGATTGGAAGTCTCACATTTCGACTTTAGTTCACGCTTATAATTCAATGAAACAGGAAACAACAGGACAATCACCTTTCTTTCTTATGTTTGGACGAGAACCTAGACTTCCAGTAGATCTCATTTTCAAAACAGACGAACCAAATCAACATGAAAACTTGAATTCCTACATCAAATCTTTGAAATCTAAATTAGAACATTCATATCATTTGGCACAGAAATCTATCCAGAATGCCCAGGGAAGACAGAAGAAGAATTATGACATCAAGGCAAGAGATGCTGTTATTCAGCCAGGAGACAGGGTTTTGGTCAAGATTGTTGCGTTTGAAGGCACTCACAAGTTATCAGATAAATGGGAGGAAGAGCCATATATAGTGCAGAGTCAACCAAACAAGGATGTTCCTGTTTACATAGTGAGAAAAGAAAGCAACAACACCTGTAAGAGGACTTTACATCGGAACCTTTTGCTACCAATAGGACACTTAGATGTTGATTTACAGACAGAAAAACCTAAGCCAGCACCAAGGAAGTTGGTGAAAGCTCGAGTCACAAGAAGGACCAAACAACTTACTACCTCACAACATGAGGATAACAGTGACTCAGATAGCAGCGACGAGGAGATGATAGTTCAGGAGGCAGCATCCACTGCACATAGCAAGGATAGTGCACTTGCTCCTGAGATAGAAAGTAACCCACAAGAAAATATATTGGCCAATGAGGAAGAGAGCACTGAAGATGAGGGTAGTTCCGGAATACCTTCACCTGTTGAACAAGTTGATGACACAGGTACTTCAGTAGCTACTATTACAGAAGACACTGATGTGAAAGAAATAGAACCGTCTGCAGATACACAGCAGCAAGCCGAAGCTGAAGCTGATGATAATGATTTGGATGATACCAATTCTGAGGAACATTCAGCTCATGAACTGCAGACAGTACCTAGAAGATCTCAGAGGACAAAGAAAACAACATCATGGATCACCAGTGGAGACTATGTAGTAAATCAACAGGTAGCAACACAACAGCCAGACTGGAAGACAAGAGCAGACTATTTACAGACTTTAGCTTCCAGTCATGTATTTCATTCTAGCAACAGTAAAGAACTAGTGGAAAAGGCTCTGATAGACATTATTACAGGTAAGAATTAGTTAGACAAGGATAGAAAGTCAGTTAAGTCAGTCAGTTGAGACAGTTCGGTAAATGTATATAGTTCTTAGTGATATTCTATGTTTTTTTGATTTTATTTTATTTTACAGTCGTTATTTCTTTGTGAAATAGTAAATGACGAGGACGTCATTTCACGAAGAGGGGAAGTATGTGATAGGGTGATTTATTTCTTATATTAATTATTATATTTCACGATTAAATTAATTCAGTTGAATTATCATATTTATTTCTTTTCAGCATTTCATTTATTGAATAAATCCACATGGAATTATTTACATCAACCTGTGTTCATTGTGTTATTTATAGATGTATGACATCACAGTGGTCATTTAAACCCCTGTCCCTTTTCTATTTATATCTTGTGTAGTGTCAGGGCCAACTTGGATTTCATTGGTTGGTTTGGTTTCCCTCTCTTTTGGTTTTTAGCTTAGTTAATTACTTTGGTTTGAGATCTTGGTCTGACCAGCAGACATATTGGTTTTGTTTATATGTTTGTCCATTTTCTATGTTGATTGAAATTACGACCATGACCAAGACTGGACAGAATGTAAGTTGACTTTTACTAATTTCATTATCTCTATATAATTGTTTATCTATTTAATTCCTAAATAATAATATTCTAATATGAAGTATGAAGATTCAGTCTTTGTGATTATTTTATGAGTGTGTAAATAATGAAAAGTAATAATTTCATATATCATTGTATGTACATTTTTGAGAGCAATACAGTAAAGTTGTTTATTATTTATATACAGATCACTGAGTAAGAGTTCACGCATCATTGTATATTTGGAGTATTGGCTTTATATCACATATAGGTATGATGTATATATATTTTGAATATTGTCCATATAATTATATTATTCTGGAAAAGTTCAGTATAATTGATCTGATTGTTTTATCTATAAATTCCAGTATTTATATTCTGTACATACTATTGATTAAGAAAGACAACTCTTAATGTTTTATCCATGAGCACAATTTAAGGGAAATAACTCTCATTTTGACCATGCTATCTGGCAAGTGGTCTACATGTATGTATTGTTATCAAATATTTATTATTGTTTATATATTTCAGAGCTGTGATAATATTGAATATACACTTATCCACATCTACAACATGGTGTTTGTGTTAATTTACTTATAAAACGAACCCCATTTCAAAAATACAAAATGGGAGCAGAGCGAACACGGACCTCATAAACATCAGAGGTGGGATCAGGTGCCATGTTATTCTGATGAACTTTAATAATGTTCTTTATATCTTGCGACACCTTATCCCAATCCTATTCTAAGATGTGTTTCCTTATCTCTGAATCTGTATTTTCCAGTGGAATTTGAGCTTAATTAGTAATTGCTATCTTCACATATCAGTTTTCATTATAACTGAAGAACTAGATATGTTAAATAATTCAGACAAATTATAAATGGGAAAAGATGAAGGGTGCTTCCCGATATTTTTCTCCTAAACTTTTAAAAAGATAACCTTTTTGTTCGGTTTATTTTTTTATATTTCATATGTTTAATGACTTTTTTCATACTATTTAATACTGTTCGTTATCCTCATAAATTTCATTATAGAGGGTCAAGTTTCTACATCTGGAACAGGACAAAATGTAAATTATTCTTTTGATACCTAAAACGATTTTTGTATATGAAACATATGGAGATAAGGAACAGTATTCAAGATCAAAAGTCCACAAAACAATACAAAATAGGAGCAGAGCTAACATGGACCTTCAAAACACCAGAGCCATGGAGGAGTAAGCATCCTTTGCCGACCGGTAACACCAGCCGTGTGTTCCTTGTCATTATTGGGAATTAACGGGAACATTCATCTTCAGTTCAGTGTATATGCTATAGGAAAACAGTTTGAAAAAACCTCAGTCATTTGACTCATTGATTAATTGTATTTGCTGACAAGGTCATTGTAGCGACCATAGAACTTACGAAATGATGACTTTATACGTGATTGCTGATATTTTTGTTTCATAAACTTTCTTGTCAAAAGTTTACCTCGTTTTAGAAATTTTTTATACGTACAGCATGCTCTTGCGTATCGATTCATCTGAGAATTAAAAACTCCGATGCAGGTGTATATAGTGTATTGTATATTGTTGCATAAGTAAGGGAAGATGACGATTGTGAAGTTGAATTTATCACTTATATCATAAAGCTTGGCTGTTAGATTACCATTAACGTCTTTTTCAAGTAAATTATCGAAATACGAAACAGATGTGTGAGCCTCTGTGGTATCTTTGATCTCAAACTTATCGGGATGTATTGTATCGAAATAAGAATAGAAATTTTTATTATTTGTTAATTGACAAATGTAGTCGATATATGCACAAAAAAAACATATCTATATTTACAAATCTGATGCAAATTTAATAAATCAGATGGTAATGAATACTTTTCTGCATGCTTTAGATAAGACTAACACTATTTAAATGAATCTCATAAGGAGTCAAATGGAATTTGACTGAGAGTTTTATTGTAATGCCATTCTTCTAGACACTTTAAAGCCAATGGCTGATAGTCATGATAAAACTTATTTGCAAAAAGTGTATTTTGTGAGACCAGTTCCTTCAGATCACCAATGCCAAACACACAGATGAAGCGGACGTACTTCCCATGGCAGTTACGTTTATCTTTCCAGGATACAGTGGCAGCAATCCAGAGCCTGTTGCCGTTGAAACCTACAAAGATAGTTAAATGTATGTTTTAAGAAAAAAGAAATTTCTGGTGAGATTTAAGCTCTACTAGTCTGTACTTAAGCTTGTAATAAATTAAGAAAGAAGTTTGTATCGATAAGTCTTCTTGTATATTAGTGTAAATGATTAAAACTGTAGACGGTCAGCAACGTTGTTAGAAAATTTAAAGAAAACTGAAGAGAATGGCGTATCTTATTATAGTCGACCTGTGTAACATTTGACGTAATCATGGTACACATATTGTCGAAATCAAAGACAGAAATATAGGTTTATTAAGTCTCATAAAGTCTAGTTGTGTAACATATCTTCTTGATATTGGACTTCAAATGTAGAAGAGATGTCAATCAAGTTTAGAGTGTTTTAAAGACACGAGTATTTTTAGTATGAGCGGAAACATCATTTTTGTAAATTGAAAGAAGGATATGGAGATAACGAAGAGTATTCAATCTCATAAAACAATACAAAATAGGAGCAGAGCAAACACGGACCTCCGAAACATCAGAGGTGGGATCAGGTGCCATGGAGGAGTGAGCATCCCCTGCTGACTGGTCACACCCGCCGTGTGCTCCTTGTCATGATCGTGAAATAAAGGAAAAACCCATCTTCAATTCAGTGTATAAATAATGGACTAACAGTTTGTATGATAAACGTCTGTCCGCATTTGACTTAATGATAAATTCTATTTGTAAATCAAAAGCCTATCAATAGATTGATGGACCTTAGAATAGTCGGAACGACGGACACCTTACTCATGCAAAACTTTCTTTGGTTTCTATCAGTAAATCTGACGAACAGCACAATACTAGAAAATCGAATGTTTTGTCTCGGTCAATAATCAGTCAACCCTTTAAAGAATACTACAGAACAACTTAGATTCTATATCTTACCGTCGGAGAATAGACCAGGAACATTAATAAGGTGACTATTTTTGGACAAAGTCGCCCAAAAGAACTCATCAGGACTATATGTGTCTTCAAACCACTTTAAAATTTTCTGGGCTCTTACATCATTGAGTGAATAATTCACAAAACTTCGACTAAATACACCATACACACTTCCTTTTGCTATGGTAATACCATAGGGTGGTAGTTTCTTTTTCTTGTTGGTGGGTTTCACCTTATTACCGACGACTTTATGTGACCTTTCAAAGCGATGATGATACTTATTAGAACTGAGCACCTCGATACTACTGCTGCCATTGAAAAGTTTCAAAATCTTAACTATCTCTGCATTAGTTTTGAGGGGATATTCCTGTGATGGTAGATTTACCACGTATTTCCAATGAACATCTGTTCTTCGCAAGAGATCTGTCATGCAGTTCAGATCGGCTTTCAATCTAGAAAAACTGGCATAGATGACGTCCTCAGTTTTCGAGACAATGAAAACATTTGGAAAACAACTTGCTATTGCCGCCATGGCATTGTGAAGAGATGCACTAGAACTCTTATCCACGTGAATACAGTAAATGTTGTGTGGACGGTAGATGGCGCGGAGTAGTTTCTCAGTTTGGACGGCATCCTTATGTGTCAAAATTGTATACGCCAGGGGAAACTCCAGCTCCTCCTTGGAGAGAAAAAAATATCCATAGTCATAGATCTCCAAAAATCTACTGCAGTGTTTAGCTTTTATTTTCATATCTGCGTCATTTGAAAATTCGTATTCCTTAGATTTCATTACACGTCTAGCATAGTCCAAGTATATTTTATCCCCTCCAATTATTCTTTGACAGTCAATATCAAAAACCAAACGTCGAGGACTTCGCTGCTTCCAGGAAATAAGCCTAGGAGTCTGTACGTTTGGGGTATACCTGTTCTTAGAAAGCTTTCTTTGATTTAAAAAGTTAACATAGTGGAAAAAGAATAATACCAGTGTCGTCACAAAGAAAGCACATTGAATTAATTTTCCCCTTAATCGTACACAAACCATTATTCATCGCAGACTGTTAATTCATTCTGAAAGGAAATTTAAAAATACACATTGGTTGAACATCAATCTGTACAAAGAGCCTTGCACGGCGACTATCAGAATTACGGAGCGTAACAAAGATCTGATTTTAATCTTATTGGTTTAAAATGCCCTTGAATTGATGTCATGTAAACAACCAGATACAATTTAACGGCTTAATCCAAATTATATCACACGGTGTGAATAAGTCTGTTTTTATTTTAAGCTAAAAAAAATAAACATTTAATTGTTTATCAGAAGAATTAATTCCAGAGCTTCGTATCATTGACATATTTTCTCCGAATACTGTAAACCAACTTTTATTGGCGACGACTTTATTTCGCGATTAACCGGGAGTAAACTAGTTCGCGGCGATTATTTTTCGCGATTAAGCCTTTTTGAAACTGTTTTAATAGCAAAAGAGACTTTAAGGACCCGTTCACGGCGAAAAATATTCGCGATGACGAGACTCTCGCGAACCTCGCGAAAATTTCTCGCACGCGAATAAAAGTCGGTTTACAGTAATTATGCTTAGTCCCATGCATATAATATATAATATAGAAAATAATGTTGATCACCTTTTAAAAGAATATAATTGCTGACGACCATTTAAAAAGAGTAATTGTTAGTTTGACGGACACACTCAAATTCCGCTATACAAATGCTCGATCTACATATATAAGCGATATGAAAAGTAGAATTGGAGTTTAAAACTCCCGACGGAAAGACTGTACTAACGTCATCTTAGTTTGACAGAAATACGTTACAGTCCTTACACTACCGTGGGCACATCAATATAATACCTATATTATTATCATTAGCAGTATTTAATTGGAAGAAAATTACGGAATCCCATCTCAAATCTCAGGAGAATTAAAACAAGAATCCGCATTCAAATAGACAAGAAATTGAATCAATTTGTTTATTTATTCTCAATGCGAGTTTTCTTAAATGACAAAAATTCTATGTACAGTAAAACACGGTTATAGCGAAGTCCTGGGGACCTGTGAATTTACTTCGCTATATCCGTAATTCGTTATATCCGTATAACGAATTCGTATAACCATTATAGCGAATTCGCAATATGCGTGTTTTCCTTCAGGTTTTACGATGAAATATGTTAGGGAAGCACATATTATAAAACATATCTTCGATAACTAAGGTTTTATTATGAATTGTATTCTATGTACAAATGCTAAAAGTAAATTAAATCAATTCAATTTTTCAAATTTTTTATAATGTTGGACACTTCGTTATAAAAGATGTAAATTTCATTATATTTCATTTCAACGGGACTCAAAATCAGTTCGCTATATCAGTAAATTCGTTATATTAGAGCTCGCTATAACCGTAAAATTTTACAAAGATTTGTTAAGAATTTTGCCAGGGACCCTGAATAACTTCGCTATATCCGTGAATTCGCTATATCCGTGTTCGTACTAAACGTGTTTTACTGTAATCCTCCTTTGATTACCATAAAGGCCCCACCCTTGCCTAAGGGGTCGTGATTTGAACGATTTTGAATTTTATTATCAGAGGATGCTTCTGTATAACTATGACCAATCAATGCTTTGCTACTCTTGAGAAGAAAATTTTTAAAGATTTTTCCTGTTTTCCTATGATCCTCCATTGTAGCCCGGGACACTCTACCCCCGGGGATCATGATTTGAACAAACTTGAATCTTAAATACCCGAGGATGCTTCCACATGAGTTCCATCTTTCCTGACCCAGTGGTTCTTGAGAAAGATTTTTCAAGATTTTTCCTATGCATTCCAATGTTAAACTTTGATACCACATTGTGACCCAACCCTACCCCTGGGGTCAAGATTTGAACAAACTTGAATCTTCACTACATGAGGATGCTTTCAATGTATCAGATTCATGTTAAAGTCACGTATTAAAAGATTGAGGGGCAAAATGAAAACCATCTATCCTTCTGTGTTCAATAAACCAGAAGCGAAAAAAGAATTAGATAGATTACACGATAAGTATGTATGGTTCCTGCCGACAAAGCGGGTAACAACATTGTCTTCGTTTTTTATGGCTCATTATATACATTTTATTTTAGAACAACTTGGATTTAATTCTACAAGTGGTAATCCAACTTATACTCATAGTTCCTTTTTTAAGGAAGAAATTTTTCAAAATCATGTCAGGTTTGAATATTTTTAAAGATTCCAAAGAACCCAAATGAATTTGAACTACTTTATATATATTGGATTCCGAAACTTCATAAGAATCCTTACAAACAAAGATACATTGCAGGTTCCAGTAAATGTTCAACCAAGCCTCTTTCGTTACTTCCCACTAAGATATTGACAGTAGTGAAGGAAAAACTTCAAGAGTACTGTGCAACTATATATTCAAGAAGTGGTGTAAATCAGATGTGGATACTTAAAAATTCTAAAGAACTTTTGGACAATTTGAAATCACAAGATTTTACAAAAATCAACAGCTTAAAAACTTACGACTTTTCAACTTTATACACAACAATTCCCCATGACAAATTAAAATCCAGGCTTTTTGATATCATTGACAGCTGCTTCTTCAATAAAATGGTACTCGTAAATTTACTTACCTCGTCATTGGTCATTTGCAAAACTATTTTGTTAAAACAGATTCTGATTGCACACATAAGTACTCTGAAGTTGACATCAAGAAGATGCTTGAGTTTTTGATTAACAATATCTATGTGGTTTTTGGAGACCAGGTATTCCAACAATCTATCTATTGGAATTCCCATGGGTACAAATTGCGCTCCGTTATTAGCAGACTTATTTTTATATTCATATGAAGCAGAATTTATGCAAAATCTTATGCATGAAAAGAAGAAAACACTTGCTGTGGCCTTCAACTCGACATTTAGATATATCGACGACGTATTGTCAATTAGTAATGATAATTTTCATTCCTACGTCGATACGATATATCCTGGTGAGCTTGAAATAAAAGATACCACAGAGTCCGATACTTCTGCTTCATATTTGGATATTTTGCTTGAAAAAGACACTAATGGTAATCTAACAACCAAGCTATATGATAAACGTGATGACTTTAATTTTCTATCGTCAACTTCCCTTACTTATGCAGCAATATACCTTCATCACCTGCATACGGAATATATATATATATCTCAGTTGATTCGATACGCAAGAGCATGCTCTACGTATGAACAATTTCTTAAACGAGGTAAATTATTGACAAGCAAGTTGATGAAACAAAAATATCAGCAGTCTCATTTAAAGTCATCATTTCGTAAGTTCTATGATCGATACAATGACCTTGTCAGCGTTTGGCGTTTTTCAGACCAATTGTTAGTCCATTGTTTATACACTGAATTAACGACGGATTTTTTCCGTTATTTCCTGATCATGACAACGAGCACACGGCGGGTGTGACCGGTCGGCAGGGGATGCTAACTCCTCCATGGCACCTGATCCCACCTCTGATGTTTCGGAGGTCCGTGTTTGCTCTGCTCTTATTTTGTATATTGTTTAATGGACTTTGAGATTGAATACTGTTCCTTATCTCCATATCCTTCTTTCACATAAGTTTCATCTTTCCTGGTCCATAGATTTTAAAAGATTTTTCCAATGTTTCCTATGTTAAATTTTGATACCCCATTGTGGCCCCAACCTACACCTGGGGGTCATGATTTGAACAAACTTGAATTTACATTTCATGAGGATGCTCCCATATAAGTTTCATCTTTTCTGACCCTGTGGTTCTTGAGACGAAGATTTTTAAAAGAAATTAAAGCAATAATTTATCACTAATTCATAATTATCTCCACCTTCAAAGAGGGTGTGACTCTTCATTTGAACAAACTTGAATCCTCTTCACCCATGAATACTTTGTGGCAAGTTTGGGTGAAATTGGCCCAGTGGTTCTTGAGAAGAAGATGAAAATGTAACAAGTTTACGACAACGACGACAACAACGACGACGACAAACAACGGAAAAGCTCACTTAAGCCTTTGGCTTAGGTGACCTAAATAGAGGAACAGCAAAAACACTTTTGAGAATATTGTTTAGATGGTCTTATACGAGAGTTGTCCGGTAAAATCGTGGACAAGTTGTCTGGTGTAAAACAATAATCATCACAACGTCTGAAAGTTTCACTACTCTTTAATACACATTTTATGAATGTACATAGCGAATTTCAAATAGATCTATGCATAAATAAACAAATTATTACATTTTATGTTATGAATTGTATCACCTAACGGCGCACGGATGATAAAATGAAAGTGTCAAAAGCAGCATCAAGTTTCATTTTTGCTAACAATAAAGTTGGATGATTCCCTCTACAATTTAGAAATTTCATTAATGCAATATTCATAAAAATATGCATTTGAGGAACCAATCTGGCACGCACATGCGATCTTCTGAAGGTTTTTTTGTAAGTTACGGACCATATTCTCACCATCATTCATCCAAATTGACAATCTTATATCGATGGTCGACAGTGGCAGCGTCTTTTGCTATTACAATAGCAGTTTGTCCGTATGTTTTGTACAACCCTTGGACTCGATCAAAAAGACTTCGCGAAGAAAACTCCCATTTCATTTGAATACTCAAGATCTGGGGATTTTTAATTTTTTTTTCTTTTATATTAATTTGAAGTCTCTAAAGGTGTTATAAATACATCTAAATCAATTAGAAATGCTCTCCGGTGCGCCGTAATGTCATCAAAATTTAATGTCGCCATTTTTCGTGTGTCGTATTTATCACTTTCTCATTTCGAATGCTCGGGAAACTGTCAAAATTTAATCAATTGCCTTGAAATTTTCAAAAAGATGGCAAATTAGATTATGAAATCGAATCAGCATAATTTTTACCCCAATCTTAACTAATTAAAAATTTTATTTTGGATTAATTCTCTTGTATTCTCTAATAAATCTTGGGTTTTCTTACCGTGCGCCGTAGGAACGTACCTGAGCGCATTTAAGCTAAATAAATCTTTATTTCTGTCTGTATTTAATCCAATAATTATGATGAACTAAAATATGATAAACATTTTCTAAAAATTTCAGCTAAGTGCACCCATTAATTTTTGGAGAAAAAAAAACGCTTTGTCAACGATTTTACAGGACAACCCTCGTATATCTATTTTCTCATCGTATTATTTTCCTTTAATTGTTTTCAACTCGATCTATAAAATTATACTTATTGAGCAAATCACCATTATAATAATAGAGGATTCAGTTTTTGAATACATGTTTTTGTTCGTTACAAAAATGATACCATGTAAG